TCTTGACCTTCTCCAGGATCTTGGGGTAGAGAGGGTGGCTTGGCTCAAGTCCCGTGAGCTTGGTGGTTGCCTCCTCAGGACTCAGGGTGCTCATAATTTGTGCCAATTCTTTGCTCTCCTCATCACCTTCGACGTTCTGGAATCTAAGGGCCATCTCCACACCACGGACTAGAGCAGTCACATCGTAGCCGCGTTCGGCAAGCTGAGCGGCGGGGCCAATGAAGCGCTCTTTGCGACCAAGTTTTCGGAGGGGCGCACGGCCGACGCGGACGGGAACATCCTCAAGATGCGGGTTGGAGATACGTGCGACGATGGTTTCGACATACTGCTGTTGCTCTTCTGGAGTGATGCCATGTTTGCCGCTGATAAGATGCGCAGTCTCTTCCAAAGCCTCGTGGACTTCCTGTCGGATCTCGGGATCTGCCATGGCTTCATGGATGGTCTTGATGCCCTTGTAGTAGGCGAAGTATGCGGCAGTGGCGTGACTGGTGTTCACAGTGAAGAGCTTACGCTCGATGTATGGCTCGAGGTCATCGACCCAGTGAATGCCTTTGACTTCTGGATGGCCCGACTTGAAACCAGTCGTCTCAACGCACCACTCGTAAAAGCTCTCAATGACCACGTCGAGGTTGGCATGTGGAGGCTGGGTTGGGACGATTCTGTCAATAGCAGAATTCCCAAATTCGGCCTTGGAGGAAAGATCTTTGAGCACCTCGGGCTTCATGTTCTTCTCGTCGGTGATCAAAGCCTTGAGGGCATCGGTGGCATTGATCATGTTCTCACAAGCAATGACGGCAAGAGGCTTCGACTTTGTGCGTGCCGCAATACCATCAGCAATCGGCTTGGCAATGAACTTGAGAACGTTGGGCCCGACAGCACAGGTGACAATATCAGCGTTGGCGATTTCCTTCACCACTTCGTCCATGTTGTACTTTGAGTTGAGAGCCCGGTAGTTTGTAATGACCTTGCTCTTCTCCCCGTCTTCACCGACCTCAGTGATCTTGTACGACTTGGAGGCATTGATTCGATTGATGAGGTCGTCGACGACATCGACGAAGATGACTTCATAGCCGGTCTCATGGAGCAGCTCTGCGATAAAACCACGGCCGATGTTACCACCGCCAAAGTGGACGGCTGTGCCAACCATGGTGTACGAGGGGGATGTGTGAGATGTGGGAAAGAGGTCAGAGGTACTGTGGAAGTTTTGCTGCTCAAGGTCAGTGAGTTCGCTGGCCAAAACTGGTGCGGTAATGATGGCACCGCTCTCCGTTGGTTTGTTACGTACATGTCTCGTCTGCAACTATGCCTCTCGGAAAGAATGAGGCAAGTAAATATGGATTTCGATGAACAGCAAGGGGAATAAAAGTGCTTGGAAGGAGAAGAAAATAGGGCAGAAAAAAGTCGGCGGTGTCAGAGAAGATATATTATGGGTGTTGGAAGCGGTCAACAAGAAATTGGGACAAGTGGGATGCGAGAGGTGAGGCACTTGAGACTAGTAATTGTACCTTCAACGAGCTAAAGCTTCATGCCCCGCGTGTCAGTGCGTCACTGGGAGGTGAAAGAGCGGCCATCCAATGACACCTAATTGGTTCGGGGCGCCACCACTGGTACAGAAGCCTTCTCAACGCGGGCTCTAATGGGGTCTGTAAATAAAGGGCGTCGATTTGGGGGGCTTGGGGGGCGCCACTCTCACAACCACCTCATTACGTCATATCTTTACTTGTTGTCGCATTCCTCCCGCAAGGGTAGAAGAAGAAAGGTGTGTGGTACATACATAGCTTTGTGCAACATTCTGAATAGTACTGCAACCCCTAATCTTCAGATATTATCCAATCCTAGCATGTACGCCACTGTAAAATGTACATGTCGTGCGCCACGGTAGCCAGGCCTTCGTCATTCCAATCTTCATGTCGTAATCTATACATTAGGCCTATTCTAATATCAATATCCGCCTTTCTCGCCGTACCGCCTGGTGTTTCGTCGTCCCACACAACATTGCACAACAGAAACAAATGATGCCAGCAGCATGACTGCCGTGGCCGCCCATGTCATTCCAAGGAATTTCCCGCCTTTGGATGAGGCAATGCCGATCTCATCTGTGTATTTGTTGATTCGGTTGGTTGCAATGACCATCACAGCCGTTGCTACAGCGGAGGCGACCCCAAGGGTGATAAAGGCAACCTGCAAAGATCATGGTTAATCAAGGTTGGCTTCATATTGAAAACGAAGAGAACTTACCACGTCCACCAACCAGTTGAAAAAGGCTGACAGTCGGCCATTGGTAAATATGCCAGCGGCGGCAGTGAACATTGCAATGCCTGACAAGACAATCCCGATGATGTAGAAGATCACCATGACCCGGCTGACAATCTTGATAGTGTTCTCAGCATCTGTTATGTCACTTGGCCAGTGGATATCATCCAAGGTGATTCCAGCCGGCAAATGGTCCTGGACAATCTTGGTAGGCTCAAAGTGAAAGCCCAAGGTCGACTTTGAGCATTCAGTCACATTTTGTCCTGGGTTGGGCGCAGTGGAATTGGGCGAATAGACGCCTTGACAGTAATCGGTGACATGGACATTGAAGAAGTCTGGGAGACCAAGGAGTGAAGCAATGTCAGTGGCTGCATCGCCGATTATGTCGTTAATGCCCTCCTGAATGGTGCTGCTCAGGCCGGAGAGCAGCCCGCTGTCGCCACTGGAGGTGTCAAACAGACTGCCATGACCAAGCCGGGAGATGTTTAGCTTTGGGCAGTCAGCATATAATACATCCATAAATCCTGCGAGCAGGCATACGTACTGTCAATATTTCAGTATCTTGCAAAAATGTCCTTTTGTCGCCGGCAAGTAGACATAGGATCGAGAGAACGAAAGCTGCGATGGCACATGCCAGGGTGAGCAGGGAAGACAATCGCATCTTGAAAGGATAGGATGAATCTGTGTAGAAGAACGAATGGAATTCAAGAAAAACAACAGACTCTTAAAAGGCCCCGGTAGCAGAAATACTAGGACCTTGTACTGAGCACGAGGTTGAGGTTGACGTTTGCAGTGATGGAGCAGCGCAAGTAACCGATCAGGGCAGTGCTGATTGACGCGGTTAAATGGTAGGATGACCCGTCTCGTCGTTTGCTCTCAGCCCTCTACTTGTATGTCGGGATGCGTCAACCAAGAAGCCATGACAACAGAGTTTCTGATCGGTGTTGGTCAGAAATCTGGCTGGGGGTGGTGAGAAAACAGGGTATCGCCGTCTAGCAAGATTCCACCATGTCCCACAATGGCAACAATGATCGGTTGGAGCAGGTCTCGGAGCCAGAGCAACGCCAGGCACCCTAAGGGCTCCTAAGGGCCTCACTGGGCCTCCCAAAGGCCCCTAGTTTGGATCGGGCATCCCCAGCCACTTCCCGTGGTCTTTGTTTGGGCGCCATGAGGGCCACTCAGGGCCCTAAGGCTGCGGTGTGGGGCTCCGATTGGCGCCTCAGCCACCCTGCGATCGTCGCCCGCAGAATCCTCCAGTAACGTCATGCTGGACCAGGGTGCTTTGAAACAACGCGTCCTGTTGCAAACTGCGTAATCCAGTGCCGGGCACAGGCTTTTGACTTGTCGGCCAGGCGCATTGGGCTAACCTCATGTGAAGAGGTTTAGAAACGGCTTTTCTAGAAGGCAGCTCACTGAAGAATTCGTAGCCTGTGTGCTCATGCTCCTTGGCTGGCCTGCCACCAAAGCATTGGGTGTGCCACTCCGTCTTACGAGGCGCAAGCGCACAAAGCAAATACACCAGATAGGTCTTATTACGCGTCACAGCCAGAAAGTCTTCCCCAAGAAACTAGACACAAGCGTGAGAGTGGCTGTGGTCACGTGGACTGGAAGAATTTTGGCGACTTCAATGCACATTGAGGCTGAGGGAACACGTATGAGCGCGCGTGCCACACCCCCTCGCCAGACATATCCAAAAGCCACATTAACATATGTCTCATACCACCTTCTTCTCCACGGGTTCAGCAGATGCACCAGTTCCTCCTTGGCGTCCGCGGTGGCTTTGTGGCTTTGAGGAGAGGTACCCGAATTCGACGCATGACCACAAGTATGGTGCTGATTTTCCAATGGCAGGTTTGAACGTCTAGCTCGCACAATAACAATACATCATCTTGTATTGATGGTGATCGGACGCTCTCCAAGTATGAACCTCTCCTTGGACCTGAGGAGCAGCATCACACTGGCCAATGTGGTTATCAGAGACGTTAAAAGGAGGCTGAAACTCCTCGTTGGTAGAGGTGGTTATGGCCGAGCTTCAGGTTGCCAAATCCATTCAATGTGCAAGCAAAGGGCAAGTCGTGGCAGCCGAGCAGCATTCAATCGGACTGTCCAGATCCTGGTTGTAAATCTTGGGTCTCTTGTCGTAGTTTTTTGATGGCGGTCTAAAAGGCTGTTAGTCTCCGCCTTATTGTGGACCAGTCCGAGACCTCGACTCACAGCTAAAGCCTCAGGATTAACCCCATTCTCAATGAGAGACACACAAAGTGACAGTTGTGTGCGATCGAGCTGCGTATTCTGCCTTCATTGTCAGAGGAATGCACTCGGGGATTGTGCATGATCACTGACGAGGAGGATTGAGATCTCTTCGAGAATATCAACAACTTCTCGAGCCTTTTCCCGTTTATCAGAAGTCACAGGCATGATAAACCCTGATCCAGACTAACGGCAGCCGAGGTTCGAGATCTAATATCTCAGCAATTCGAATCTTGGTGGAAGCAGGGGACAGATGTTGAGGCGATTTGTTCGAAACGCGTCTCCCGAGTCCTGGTTGTACTCAGTGCGCTTGAGTTGCTGCTTTAGTACTTAACTCAGAACCTAGAGCAGACGAGGTTAAATGGGCATGTCTTTTTGAACCAAATAGTATTAGCGTGCTTGACTATTTGACCTTTGACTTCCACGGACTTCACAGCTTGTACCCTGCACAAGTAGCACGCGACTCTTCTTCAGTCAATCTGTCCTTGTGTTCCAGGATGCTTGCTGCAACCATCAATGCGACTTCGGGCTGTGATGGAACTGCAGCCTCTCATTCGGCTATGCTCAGCAAGGCTGCAAGAAGTCAAAGGGGCGATCCCTCGTGCCGAAATAATCCTCTTTTCCATAACCTCCGACAACTCCATCGCTCTACTGTTCCACGTATCTCACATGAAATAGAGACTCTGGAACGCAAGGTATTTACTTCTCGTGAAGCGTTCCCATTCAACGACAAGCCTCTTCACCAGCGCAACATGGAAGTAATTGTCGGTCTTTCGGACCAAGCAGGAAATCCCTCTGTTGTGGCCTACGCTGTTGTGGTGAAATGGAACCACCGACTACTTCTACACAAAATTTGCGTGGCACCGGCCGCAAGAGGCCAGGGCATAGGTGGACTATTGATGCTGAAGATCATTGAAGACTCGAAACGGTGGTCCTGTCGCGCAATCGATCTTTGGGTCGACGAAGCGAATCAGGTCGCTAGGGGCCTCTATACCAAGTGCGGCTTTGTCGTGCAAGAAACGATCAACGACTACTATTCACCCGGTAAGAATGGAGTCAAGATGGTCCGAGCTTTGCAGCCTTGATGCGGGAGACTTTCTTGGGCAGAGGGCTTTCCACATTCTCACCCAAGGTATCCCTTGCAGATGCCATCAATTCTCTTAAACCCTCACCCAACCCCTTGGGAATATCATAAATTGCACGCGACCGCGCCATGTCGCGTCAACCGCGTCTAGACCTGCGATGGAAGTCGTCTTCTGTGCAACTGGTCTTTGACAACATATAGCCAGCAGCCTCGGGTTGCCCCATTGCGGCATGATTTCAGACTTCCAATCGAGCCACTTGAATGTATCTCACAGAAATCAGTAAGCCACTGTTGGCGTTTTGGCTGACCGTGTTTGTCGATCTCATCACAGCCGCACCGGAACTCGCTTTCCCGCTCAATTCTCAAGTTCCACCAGTTGCATACGTATCGCAACCATACAACTTTGTATTTTCTGCCGATACTTTCACCTCGAACGCTCCGCAGATCTCCTACACAATCACACATGGCCCAAAGTGGCTCGATCTTGACGGCCCTTCTCGGCAGTTCCAAGGTGTGCCAGACAGCAGCGATGTAGGCACAACAACTTTGCAACTGGTCGCTTCAGACCCTACGGGAGATTTATCAACGAGCATTACACTTATTGTGCTCGGATCTCCTACTCTAACACTCGGCACACCTCTGTTGCCTCAACTAGAAGAAAGTGGCCTCATTTCCCCACCAAGTTCATTACTTGCGCAGCCACAGCAGCCATTTCATGTTTCCTTTGAAACGCATACCTTCACTGGCGCCACGCCCGATACAAGATACTACGCGGTTTCGGCCGGCAATGCTCCTTTGCCTCCGTGGGTGCATTTCGATGAAGATCAGCTCGAGTTCTCTGGCATAACTCCTGCGTTGGTATCCTCATTAGCTGGGTCTCAAACGTACGGCTTGAGACTTATTGCTTCGAATGTGCCTGGGTTTGCAGAATTGGCTATTGACTTCCAACTTGTTATTAGCCGGAGGATACTGGCATTTTCAGCCGCCACGCAAATCGCCAACATCTCAACTGGTACTCGATTCCAAGCTTTGCCACTCCGGCCACTAATCACACTCAACGGGGCTCCCGTCACTGACGATCAGATTGACAGCATAGATGCGGATGTCCCGGCTTGGGCAGAGCTGGATCGAAACGAATTGTCTTTAAGTGGTACCCCTGATGATTCTGTCAGCACTACTATCACTATCACGGTCACAGATATCTATCATGATGTTGCTAATGCAACCATCTTTCTCGAGAATACTGGAAGTTCAAGTGTTTCTCTTGGAGTCATAGGTGTCGTCAATGTAACAGCCGGGGAATACTTTTCATACTACTGGACCTCTCCAACCTACTCTCCTTGGGTCCGAGCTGTCGCGACCCTAGGTAATGCATCAGCATGGCTTGATTTTAATGCTCAAACCTGGGCTCTCTCAGGGTCAGTGCCCCAAGATCTACCCGGACAGACACTCAGTGTTTCCATCACCTTCGCGAACGCATCAACAAATGCAACAGGAGACGTGATTATACAAGTCCTTCAGAAACCCTTCGCTACTGCAACTGCACCAACGCATTCTACGACGCCACCGACGATTTCCAGAGCTAGTGGCACGAGCAAAGCATCTGAGCGTGCAATGAGTTCTCCGCATGGCAACACATCCAACAACCATCTGCTGCATATCGTACTGGCCTGTGTCTTTTCTGTTGGTGGAGTACTGCTCGCGGTTTCTCTGGTTCTGTGTTGTCTAAGAAGGAGAAGGAAGAACAGAGGAAGAAACATCGCATCATTCGAAGAGGGCTCGGATCGTGCCGATGGGCATTCACATGAGCCATCGAATCAATCTGCACAAGATGCCGAAACCATTGCCCATATACCCGATAACCAGCATATCAGCCCTCCAAATCTCTCTACTCCGAACCCTGCGCAGTCTACTGAGTGTTTGGAGAACTCTAGGCAGGGATTATCAAGCACCAAACGCCCACATCCCCTTACGCAGCATCGGACTACACAAGTCTTCACTCCTGGAAGTGTTGTGGCTCCCCAACTTGAAGCCATTGAAGAATTTGACAGGACGGCAAGTCCTGCATTCGAATTCTTGCCGACCAACCCGAGGTTGTCGGTGCCTTGGGCCCCAGCAATCCAGAGCAGCTCATTGGCAGCAGGATTGCAGAGTCAACAAAGGAACTCGACCATCACTGCCCAGTCAAGCATGATGCCATCCGTGGTAGGCTTGCCTGACAGAAAGAGTGGCGCCGGACATGGTGGCGGCATTCTGATCCCCTCTGATGTCAACACAGATCAGACGTCCTGGCGGAACACCTGGGCCTCTAATCTATCAAATGACTGCAGAAGGACTACGCTGGTGTTGGATTCATTCCCGGCACCCCCGGTGGATGGAGCGACCGCTGCTAGGACCGGTGTTCTGACAAAGAGTCCAGTTCCCTTTATGCGCATGGTCCCGGAAGATAGCAGTCAGCCTCTATCCTTTGAGGAGCAGCGTCAAAGATGGCATACCGAACGGGCACGGGCTAGGTTAGAAGGGTCTGCAAGATTTTCGAATGCAGGCTCGGCACGGCTGCTGGTGTCACCGCGATACAAGTGGGCTCGGAACACCGCAGCGCTGGCGAAGCGAAATCCACAAACACCGACACCAATGGCTAGAGAATCTAAGGCAATGGGCGCCCGAGATTTTCCCGAGCCCTCGTGGTCGATGTGGTCCGGCCTTGAGCATGAGGTCGACGAATCTGCTCAAATCGGTGGGTTTATCTCCTCTCAAAACGGCAACACGCCTGTGCTGAGGAAACAGCGCAGCATTGCGAGCAGCGGGCAGTTTGAATCGATCACTTCTTCAGACAGCTACTTGGAGGACAAAGCCCCGTCAGCCGAGGAAACAGAACCTGATACGCAAAGAGGGCTGGCTAATCGCGGCTCGCAATCCTCACCACGGTTGCCTTTGAACCTCATCTTGCACTCACGAGAAAATGTGGGGAACCATGAGGGCGCAATGAAGAGATCTGAAGAGGGCTGGCGAGGGAGTTTCCGATTTGTATGATTGTTAGAGACGACGAATGCGGCAGTCAACCGTCTATCCAAAGTATGAAGCCTCTGCTAGGCAGCAGTGGGTAGATAGACGTAGTGACCGAAAACGTCGATGAGGCTGGGGCGCAGGAGGACGTTGATGTTTCCTTTGTATGTATTTTAGGGTCGATACCTACAGGGGCTTGGCATTCCGGCACAAGGGGCTCTCAGGGTGCAGGTCTCATCGCCTTTCTTACTAAGGGAATTCGGTTGTAGTGGGTGGGCTTCTTGAATCCATCGTCATTTACTCGCCCTGGCACCAACTGGCACCCAGAACCTCGTTCCTCAGAGTCGCCTGCCCACCTTTCAGATTTGAATTTATCCTTTTTCCTGTTCAAACTTACAAAGTCGCTGGTTTCTGCCCGCGACATCCTGATCGCCGACAATAAGAGAGCGTCTTTCGGGGTATTCCTCAGACGCTGCATATTTCCCTCAGGTTGCAGAGCCTGCGCCTCCTCCCGTCCCTGTCCTCCCTCTGCTGCCTTTTAACCCGCCTCAACCGCAGCCAGCTTATGCCATCGTGTGCGAGGAGTACATGAGCACCGTCACCTCCAATTCCAGTCCCAAGTTGAAGAACTACAAGCATGGGTCAGACTCTGTCAGAGCCCGTTGTGGAAAAGGTGTGCCACAGATTATACATTTTGCCCCATGTTTGCTCAGCGAGAAACCTTTCGCGCCTTGCGCGTGATCCAGAGCCCGAAGACCGCCAGGCCCGCTTCTGGCTGAGTTTTTTTTTGCTCTTCTACTTCAGTCGTCTAAAGTGCTTGAGAAAGGCAGCTAACACAAGTTGTGGTGACAGATATCCGATAGCGGTGCAGATGACTGTGTTTACTATGGCCTCTCGGCAATGCAAGGATGGCGTATAAGTATGGAAGACGCACACGCCGCAGTTCTCGACCTACAGCCCGAGGGAAGTGGCAAGTCCAAACAGCCCTCCCCGCCAGACAAGAGGTTATCGTATTTTGGTGTCTACGACGGGCATGGTGGGGAAAAAGTCGCGCAGTTTGCTGGAGAGAATATCCATAAAATTGTCGCAAAGCAAGATGCGTTCTCCAAAGGAGACATTGAGCAAGCCTTAAAGGATGGGTTCCTCGCCACCGATCGTGCAATCCTCAATGGTATGGGTGGCCTCTCCCGCCAAACAACCGTTTCCGGATACTAAAGGATTATTCAGATGCTCGTTACGAAGATGAGGTCTCTGGATGTACTGCATCCGTCGGGATCATATCAAAAGATAAGATATGGGTGGTGCGTACAGCATGTTCCAATCACTTCATTCCCTGACTCACGAATGCCAGGCCAACGCAGGAGACTCTCGCACTGTCCTTGGAGTCAAGGGGAGAGCGAAGCCGCTATCCTACGATCACAAACCCCAGAACGAAGGTACACCACTCGATTGTATTGCCTTTGAAACAAGCTAACTAGAGACAGGCGAGAAAGCCCGTATAAGTGCCGCTGGAGGCTTTGTGGACTTTGGTCGGGTCAATGGCAATCTCGCCCTGTCACGTGCCATAGGAGACTTCGAATTCAAGAAGAGCGCCGACCTCTCTCCCGAGCAGCAGATTGTCACAGCCTTTCCCGATGTGATCACACACGAAATCTCACCGGATGATGAGTTTTTGGTGATTGCTTGCGATGGTAGACTGCCCTGCTGAAATCCCTTGTGGCCGTGTTGAGTGTGGCTGATGATGAACCAGGAATATGGGACTGTCAATCCTCGCAGGCCGTAATCGAGTTTGTGCGAAGAGGCATTGTTGCCAAACAAGAGCTACAGCTCATTTGCGAGAACATGATGGACAACTGCCTCGCGTCCAACAGTGAGACTGGAGGTGTGGGGTGCGACAATATGACCATGATTATTATCGGTCTGTTGAACGGCAAAAGCAAAGAGGAATGGTATGATATGATCAGTAAACGAGTGGCAGACGGAGAGGGACCATGCGCGCCACCAGAGTACGGCAAGTCCAACCCTGATTTCCAAGAGGCCAAATCTTGTCTAACAGTCCGCAGCTGAATTCCGTGGACCAGGTGTCCGACATCAATTTGATCATGACAGTCCAGACGAATACGAGCTTGATCTAGACCACCGATCTAGAGGGTTTGGGGGTCGGAGTGGTAGGATCATTTTGCTCGGGGATGGAACAGAGGTCCTGACCGATTCAGACGACGCGGAAATGTTCGATCACAGCGAGGAAGATAAAGATGCGGCGAACCAGGTCAAGAAGGGCACTCCGGACACATCGGACGTCGACTCTGCACGAAGCGAACGAGAAGGCACCCCAGCTCCCCAGTCGGCCAGTGACGGGACGAAGCCATCAAGTCAGCAGGATACCTTGGACAGCAGCAAAGACGCAGAGAACACAGGACCCGCGGATGACACGACCCAGAAGGCTGCTGTCTGAAAGCCAAGTATGAGAGCGAGACGAGAGCACGACGAGAGCGAGAGCCAGAGCGAGACCAGACAAGGCAGATCCAGTTTCTTCCCGACGCAAGATACCCCTGCCGTCAGCGCATTGATGAAGAGTCCTAGCATGCATGCATGATACTGGTTTAGATCTACGTGGAAGAGCGTGCAGAAGGACCTTTATGGATGCGACCCAGTTCTGACACCGTCGCGCAACGAGACAGTGGCAGTGGGTACGATGGTAGAATGATGCCACTTTCTGTACCTCTTATCTATATACACCGTGTGGGAAGGGGCATTACCTTGAGTTCTATTGAGCGCTGCATCACAACCACCAATGATTCATTAACCGACATGTTTCCTGGCAGCAACTGGCCCAGTTACACACCCTTGACCCAATGGCGCAGTGTAGGCCCAGATTGTCCGTCTTGAGCGTGTGCACCTGGTGTGTCATTGAGATGACGTTTTGACCAGCAGCTTCTCCCTTCATGACTGGTGGATGGCGAATAGTAGCGACAATTGCGAGGCACATGCCCACGTTCCTCATTTGCTTTCCCAACTTACCGAACCTCTGACGGCATAGCTCAACAACAGGTTTTCTTTTTTCCCGTTCTTGTTCCCAGTGGCTTTGACTTTACCGGTACTTGTTGTAACCTTGTCGAGGAGGGGGCGAGGTTTCAACCCATAGGAGCGCCGTGCTAGTTGGAATCTTATCTTGAAAATTACCTGGACTATTATCACGCAACTCCAAACGTGCTTCTCCTTCTCGCTTCTCACAATCCCCGAAATTGTTTCTCACTGTGGAGCTTGGCAACTTGCTTGGAACTTTTGTCTCATGCTTCTTCGCCTCCCCAAGCCGACGGGTCTCCTATTACTCACTTTCCTGACATGAGACTGCGTGTATCAATTTGAACGTGGCCTAGAGTTCAGAACAGTCCTCCTGACATGTCGTCGCCATCCTCTACGTCTTCCGTCAAGCGGAAAAGGACAGTCGCCCCAACCGATATCCAACAACCGTCGTCGCGCGACGCCTCAGGCGAAGAGCTGGCCGATGCGCCCTCAAACAATCCGCGAAACCGCAAACATGCCTCGAGTAATTCGATTGACAGCGCAGTGCCGCCCAGTAAGCGAGCTCGCACCCGGTCCATTGCCAAACCCGCCGAGTCTAATGGAGTGATGGAAAGAGATGGTGTCGACGAGGAAGACCCCGGCGAGCCCTCAAGCACTACCGTGGATAGCCAGGAGATTGAGGAAACAAGCAGGAAAAGGCAAAGGACCGTCACAAGTGCCATGAAGAAGGCCATTGTCAACGAGGGCCGGGAGACAATGGAGGATGTACCAAAGGCAGGCATGAGAGATCCCGTTGGGGGGTACAAGACCAATCCACCACCCGTGGGTAGGCCTGTCAGAGTCTATGCCGACGGAGTTTTTGACCTCTTTCACCTTGGGTAGGCATTCTCGCCTGTTTGCTCTGTGGACATGCAAGTGCTAACTCCCCTGCGAAGACACATGCGCCAGCTTGAACAAGCCAAAACTGCGTTCCCAGACACCTATCTCATCGTCGGAGTTACGGGAGACGCCGAGACACACAAACGCAAAGGTCTGACCGTGCTCACCGGAGCGGAGAGAGCAGAGACGCTTCGCCACTGCAGATGGGTCGACGAAGTCATTCCCAACTGCCCATGGATTGTGACACCAGAGTTCCTGGAAAAGCATAAGATTGATTATGTAGCCCACGACGACGAGCCCTATGGCGCCGATGAAGGGGACGACATCTATGCACCTATCAAAAAGGAGGGCAAGTTTCTCGTCACGCAGCGAACCGAGGGTGTCTCGACAACCGGAATCATCACGAAGATTGTCCGAGACTATGAAAAGTATATCGTTCGCCAGCTCAAGAGAGGTACTAGCCGGCAGGAGCTGAACATCAGCTGGCTCAAGAAGAACGAACTTGATCTCAAGAGGCATATGCAAGAGCTGAGAGACAGCGTCAAGTCCAACTGGGTCACAGCCGGAGGAGAGATCTCGCGGGATCTCCGATCATTCTGGACCAACGCCAGCTCGAGACCCGCAAGTCCGGCTCCGTTCAACAGACAACTGAGCGATTCAGCTCTCAAGAGTCCCCTCAGCGGTGGCATGACTGCCGTCGAGCAATTGAAACAGTTAGAGAACGCCATTAACCCAGAGAAGCGAGGCGACTCTCCTGGCAGACTCAGTAGAAGCGAGGACTTTGCCGCGGGATACAGCTTGGGATTGATTGGAGGTGTCAAGTCATGGGTAAGCACAGACAAAGTGCCATCTCGTGCCTCCTTTGTTGCTGACGTTGGTTTTTAAACAGATGATGCGAGGCAAACGGGCTCTTCGTGACAGCCAGGCGCCCAGTCCAGAAGGAAGCGAGGATGATGAAGCTAGAAGCCCTATCAGCAATGACGGAGAGAGTGACATATTCGGGTTAAAGACGCCTCCCCTGGGCTCAATTCGGGGGAGAAAGGGCAAGTACGCTAAGAGCGATACCGACGAGCCCAAGCGAGAGGCCATGGATGTGATGCATTGACTTGGGGTGGTTAATCAGTTCACCGTCAGGGTTGGAGACTCGCGTGGATCGTCGCGGCCTCTTCCCGTGCCTTCTTTTCAACAACGATCTCACACGCAACACTTTTATTGTTCGATAGGGCTGTAAGAGCAGGGTATGAAGACAACACAACAAAGCACAAGTGGTGGCGTTCACATTCGTTAAGAGACTAAGTAAAGACAACCCCGGGGAAAAGGGCGTGGTTTGTCGGTGAAGGAAACACGACGAAAAAGTTATATGCTTTTGCTTTTTGACACAGACAATAACGTCTTCTAATTCTTGTATTCGATGCGAGAGAGGAAGTATCAGGTCGGAATGAGGAGGAGGACGAGTAGTCAAAAGGACTTTCACTACTAGACGGGTTTTATCTGGACGACGCGCAGCTCTCTTTTTGGAAAACATTGCTTGATTCAATACTCCCCATCTCGCTCTATCCACTTTGTGGCAAAGCAACCCTTCGGGGTAAGGGGATACAGTGAGAGAGTTCTTGTTTTTGTGTATGTGTGTGTGTGTGTGAAAAATGGGTATTTGGACTCCCGAGTGATTTCTTTTTGTCTTTCAAAAGTCATCCATCCCATCCGTTCATGCCGACTGACTATTTCTCACACGTCAGACACAGCAAACCAGAGAAACGGGCCCCGTGTGTGCGCGTTGTCGTGAGCAGGAGAGAGAGAGTGTGTGTATCCTCTCTTCATCAATCTGCCTGGCAACATCAGCATCCCCTTCCCGTGGCCCCATCAGAAAAGCTCTTGGGGACCACCACACCAACGCGATTGGGACCACCGCCTCCCTTCCCTTATGCTTTATGATCGGGGCTTCTCCTTCTTCTCCTTCCACAGGGCGCTCAGGCCCACGCCGGAGACCTTGACGACCTTGAACCGGACACCGGGAATATCACCCTTGGCCTTGCCCTTGCGACCGAAACCGGCCAGGAGGACCTCGTCGTTCTCATCCACGAAGTTGAGACAACCGTCGTTGGGCACTAGAGGTAGTATCATCAACAGTCAGCAAAAACCCATTTGAATTTTGAATTATTTCCTCCATCAATCTGAGAATTATTTTCACTTCATCTTCCATCTATCCCGCTTGGTCCACCTCTTTTTGCAACAACAACAAAGTCTCGTCCTCTTGGTTTTCGGCAAAGTAGATAGAACATACCGAAAGCAGTGACCTTCTTCCCGTTCTTGATCAATTGCACCCTCACGCATTTCCGAATGGCCGAGTTGGGCTGCTTGGCTTCGACTCCGACCTTTTCCAGCACGATGCCTTTGGCGTGCGAGGATCCACCGAAGGGCGACGACTTGTACGCGGTACCGAGGAGACGCTTCTTGTAGTGCAGATCGGCCCATCGACCCTCCTTGCGCGCGGCGACGAGTTTGCGCGCGGCGTTGAGACCACGGGGTTTGCCTCTGTTTGTCATTTCTGAAGGCAAGATGGGTTAGCTTTCTAGGGATTCGTGATTAAAATGCAGAACGATTTTGGGTTCTCCAGGTGCTGGCTGGGGCGAAGGGGAAAAGCGCTATTGCACAGAGATTTCTTGTGCGTCGTCGTGGTCTCTGCAATGGCGGGTTGGTGTAGGAGATTGTACGTACTGGCTGATGTGACAAGCAGACGATCGATAAAACGGGTGAGGTGGACGGGTGCTGAGGAATCGTGGATCAAGCGACGGTGATATTGAGAATTCGCAAGAAAGTTTGGTGCGCTTTGCCAAGAGTGAAAAGCGGTGAGAACTGGCAGAAGTTCTGTACGGTGGAGCGAAATTGCTCTCGTGCGCAGTTGTCCTGTTCCCCACCTCGACTTTCAGCCTCGTGGTGCATGTTCTCGGCAGACCGTCTGTACCCATCTTCGTCAGTCTTATACACGATGCTTGGCTGATCTTTTTCATGTCAACTGAAATATAGCCTCCACAGTAGCGGCGAGGGCACGGCTCTCTGCCAATCATCCCTACACAGTCATGGCATCTAGCGCAGGAAAACCGGGACAACTTGAAGTGCCCTCTGCAACGCCCAGTGCTGAACGACCCAAGCTCACAACCACCACTACTCGAACGACCACGCATCGCCTTCCTCCTCCGGCCCTGTTCCAAGGCCCTCCATCTAAGAATGCGTCGCATATCTCCCTCGTTCTCCCGACCGATCGTCCTCCCGCCGAGGCCGAAGGAAGTGCCCAACATGGGCAGCGAAAGATCATCCGTCCGTCTCGTGTCCCTCCTGCTTCGTCCTTCTCCGGCACCTCCCCGTCCCAGCTCCGTCGCCCTACCGCAGGGACAGATGAGGATGATCAGCGCGCCGAGCAGCTCTGGGCAGAAATGCAAAGGACCCTTGCAGACGTAGAGATCTCGGCCATGAACACTTCCCACGTGTTTGGGTCGTCTCATTTGCGAGCATTGGAAGAGTTGCGGACTGCCCAACTGTCTCTTGCGCAGA